TGAACTGTTTAACTTTATTTGAGCTTGAAGGCATATTCCAAGACTCTTTTTCCTGTGTTATGAAACTAATATGATCCTATTGCAGCAACTTAGAAACTTTTGTCACGTAAAATAATGGCTTTTAATAATTTGAACTATTGTCTTTCACTCTGTTTTCTGAATGTGTATATTAGTTATAAATATTTTTTAAATGTGGGAGGTATAAAGGCAGGAGGTATATGTGGGAAATCTCTGTATCTTCTGTTCAATTTTTATATGAACCTAAAACTGCTCTGAGAAAAGTCTACAAGTAAGTATACTTATAAATAAGTTCTATAAAAACTGTAGGTTATGCCATATTATAGTTTTGTTTCCTGAGAAGATATCATTTTGTAAAATATTTGTGTTTTGCGATTGTAGTAGATTTATAGTATGTCATATTCTTTATACATGCCATTAAAATTTTATAGTTGTTTTAAATGTGTGTGGTTAGAAGTCAGGATTGTGGTTAACCTTCAGGGAGTTGCATTAAGACTAGAAGAGAGTCCTGGCAGGTATGGCTGAGGTGGTTGAGCACTGTCTCGTACACCAGGGAGTCACAAGTTCAATTTCTGGTTGGGCACATACCTGGGTTGCAGGTTCACTCCGTGCTTGGTGTGCATGTCGGAGGCAACCTATCAATATTTCTCACATGGATCATCCGATGTTTCTTGCTCTCCCTCTCCTTTCCTTTTTCTCTAGAATTAATGAAAAACATATCATTGGGTAAGGATTTAAAAATAGTAAAAGACTAGAAGGGAGTGCAGTGTGGTCCTGAGGTGCTTGTTCATTTTTTGTGAAAATGTAGCTGTATACTTAGGCTCTTTCTGTATGTATATTATACATTAGTAAACTTTAAAGTTTAATAGTTACTGATATAGAACTTTAGGGTAATAAGATTAATAGAGGTAACTGGAAAATGAAATGATGAAATTTCAGATGACTTACTCATTTGTGATTTTAAATATGTAAATAGTTTGTTTTAAAAAATGTATATTTAGAAAATAATAACTTATATATGTGTCTAAGCTCCAGCTCTTTGTAATAACATTATGTGGATGTATAACAGGATTTTAAGGACTTTAAATATCAAAAAGTAAGAGTAGCAAAGTAATGTGAAATGTGAAAACAGTGTATTCTATAATTTAAGTTATATGTGAACAGATGTTCACCTCTGTAACCTAATTCTTTTCTTATACTCAGCAGTGCATATTTGTTAAGTCAATGAATCCTTGTCCCCTCATCTGCTTTCAGTATTATCACTTTAAGAAAAGCACTTGTTGCCGAAACCGGTTTGGCTCAGTGGATAGAGCGTCGGCCTGCGGACTGAAAGGTCCCAGGTTCGATTCCGGTCAAGGGCATGTTACCTGGGTTGCGGGCACATCCCCAGTGGCAGACGTGCAGGAGGCAGCTAATCGATATTTCTCTCTCATCGATATTTCTAACTCTCTATCTCTCTCCCTTCCTTTCTGTAAAAAATCAATAAAAAATATTTAAAAGAAAAAGAAAAGCACGTTGTTAGTTTTATAAAATGAAAATATCTTAATTTGAATTTTTTGTTATTATTAATGACTGTATCTTTTAAGAAGCCTATTAAATACTTGGATTTAATTTTTTGAGAATTACCTATTTAAGTCTACACTTGAGTTATTGATTTTGGTAGCCACTTGTATGTGGCTATTGAACACTTAACATGGTGCTAGTTTGATTTAAAATGTGCTATAAGTATAAAATATAAACTGAATTTTGAAATCTTATGAAAAAAGAATGAAAACTAGCACAATATTAATTTTTTAGTATTGGTCTTATTTTGGAAAGTTTTAGATATGTTGGTTAAATAAAACATATTATTAAAATTAATTTCACCCTTGTAAATTTACATGTGTTGTAAACATTATATTTCTATTGGACAATATTGATTCAGTAATTTGATCATTAGGTGATTTGGGCCTGAATGAGTGTAGAAAGGAAAGTAAGGAGGGATTTAAGTAAGAAAGTATGCAGTATGCATAGCTATATCTATATCTATAATCTATATATACAAAAAGCTAATATGCTAAGTGTCAACCGTCTGGCTGGTCGTTATGACGCGCACTGACCACCAGGGGGTAGATGCTCAACACAGGAGCTGCCATGACGCACACAGAGAAATGGCATCGCGAACCTGGCGCCAACAAAGCAACACTTGGCTTCCCCCAAGTGGGACACAGGCCCACCACCACCCTGGAGCGACACGCCACCACATTGCAGCTGCGCTGCAGAGACCCCATGGTGCAAAATGTGGCCCATAGCCCAGAAACGGTGGCTGTGGGTGCTGGATAATGATGTCATGTAGCAACGCCCAGCTACTTCTCCCTAGGGACGACTAGCCTCCTTGCAGTTTCTTCAGCCCAGGAACATGACTTGCTTTATAGCCAGGTGCAAACATTTCATACTTTAACCAAATGCCTGTGAAGTGTTTTCTTGTGCCTCATCTCATTTGATCCTTGCATAAGTCCTGGAGTAGGTAGATAGGAGACTTGGTGGAATCCTATTTTCTTTTCATTAGCCGGAAAACAGAGATTTAGAAAGCTTAAAACTTGACCTGACTGAAAAGAAGTGGTGGACCTTGAAAATGACTTCAGGTTTTCTCACTGCACAGAATATAGTCAAACACTGCTGCAGTTAAATATTTTACCTTTTGTTCTCCCTGTGTGATCTACAATAATAATGTGCTTCATGTTGATATAATTACTGCTATGTTGCTGACAATTACCTGAAAGAGAAATTGGGGTGCTTCACTGGGCTGGAAAAAGTTTAGCTACATCAGAAAGCAGGTCTAATTAAGCAAGTTTATTCTATATCTATAAAAGGGTAAGTTGACTCGCGCATGCGCAATACATATAAAGCTCTCACTGGCGCCAGTCGCACACGTATGTTTCAGTCTGTCATTGTTAATCGTGAATTTGGTTGACATTTCTATTACAGAGAAAGTACAAATAGCGATATTAAAATATTTCTTCTAATTACTTTCCTTTGATGTGCACAAATTTGTGCACTGGGCCTCTAGTAACTATGTAATTTCTGCTACATTGAAGGATATCTTGTGGTTTTTTTGTGCTTACATTGTGGCTTTGTAATCAGTTGTATGCTTTTTGAGGACAAGGACTATGTCACTATTTCTACATTCTCCTCTACTCTTTTGCTGGGTACATAGGTGCTTGAATAAATATGAATTAATAGGACATCAAGTCTCTCTATATAAAAGCCTAAGTGACTGTTATGACCAGACGACCGGACAACCTGCTGGTAGCTATGACGCGCACTGACCACTGGGGGCAGGCGCTCAATGCAAGAGCTGTCCCCTGGTGGTCAGTGCCCTACCACAGTCAACCTCCCATGGTCGGCCAACCTCCCGTGGTCCGTCCCCCTGGCTGGCTGGCCCTAGTTGGCTCTGATGGGCCCCAGTCAGGACTGGGAGAGACAGCCCTGATTGGCCCCAATCTCCAGCCAGGCCTGGGGACCCCACCTGCGCACAAATTCATGCACCGGGCCTCTAGCAATTTTATAGACTCAAAGTATGAATTACTAGATTATAGACAATAATTCGTAGAGTTTTTATACCTGTTACTAGGGGCCCAGTGCACGAATTTGTGCACCTTGAAAGAACTGTGGGCCATGAGGCTGCACTGGGCACAGAGGCGGGTCTCAGCCCATCCTCCACGCCCATGCCTGGCACCTCCCCCTGGAGCCCCCAGTCCCCTGTCTGCCGGCAGCCCTGCTCCTGCTGCTGCTGACAGCACTGGCACCGCTTGCACCCGCTGATGCCGCAGAGCAATTGGGGCTGCCGCCAGCAGTGGGTGCTGGTGGGGCCGGTGCCGATAGCAGGTGTGAGTGGCGGCTGCTGGCCCCGATCACCCCTCAGGAGCTGGGGGAAGTAGAGAAGCCCTTAAGGGTGATCGGGACCAGTAGCCGCCACTCACACCCACTGACGGTGCTGAGCAATTGGGGTGGGGAGTGGCACCGGGTGCCAGCAGCAGGTGCAAGTAGGCCAGCACTGGCAGTGGGTGCGAGCAGCAGTTCCAGCGCCGGCAACGGGTGCAAGCGGGCCATCACCAGCAGCGGGCGCAAGAGGCGGCTACCAGCCCCAATCACCTTAGGAGCAGGGTGAGGTGGAGAAGCCCTGGGGGGCAGTTGGGGCCGGCTGCCGCCACTCACACCCGCTGACAGTGCAGAGCAATCGGGCGGAGGGCCGGCGCCAGGTGCCGGCAGCAGGTGCAAGCAGGTGTGAGCACCGGGTAGGAACCATGGCACGCAGGAGCAAAGAATTTTCAGTAAACACCAGAGGCTCGCCCCAATGACAGCGACCAACCGGCATCCCACCTTGGTCTGATGCCCCCCGCTCACCTGCTCCAACGCCCCCCGGTGGTTAGCGCACATCATAGTGACCAGTTGTTTGGTTGTTTTGCTGTTCGATCTATTTGCATATTAGGGTTTTATATATATAGATAGATTTTACTATAATATCACCAGCCAGCCAGATCAGTCATACCCTTTTTAAAAGGTGCAAGGTTAAGGGAACTAACATCTGGTAGTATATAATAGGCTCTAGGTAGCCATTTTATATCTTTTTTCAGTTAGTCGTTATAGTAACCTATGAGAAAGGTGTCAACTAACATTTTACAGATTAGGAAACAGGTTGAGTAATTTTTCCATTGTTATGTTACTAACCTATGTATGCCCAACTTCAAAGCTTGTTCTTTTTCCATTGTAGTTTACTGTATTGATTAAAGTTAGTTATTTTAAGTGATTTAAAGTTAGTCTAATATTGTGGTTGACATGAAGTAAGTGAAAAATAATCTTAAGAATAAAATGTATACTAAATTTTGTTAGTTTCTTATGTAGTCCATGTTAAGTATAGGAAAGGGAATTTTAGAAATTGCACCATAATTCATTGGAAAAATTCCAAAGTAGTTGAAAACATTTCCTTTTTTGTGTTTCAGATAAAATCAAAGAAAAAATTAAAGAGAGAGATAAGGAAAAAGAGAGAGAGAAAAAGAAGCATAAAATAATGAATGAGATCAAGAAAGAAAATGGAGAAGTAAAGATGTTGCTGAAAAGTAAGTTTATATTCAGTGATTTTAGTTGTACTGTATTGTATTGTTCAGTATACTTACTGGCTTAGTGAATTAAAATAAGAAATGTTATTTGTTGCTGAATTTTTCTAATAAACTGGTCAGGCCCTGGCTGGTTTGGCTCACTGGACAGAGCATCGGCCTGGGGACTGAAGAGTCCTGGGTTCGATTCCAGTCAAGGGCATGTACGTTGGTTGCGGGCACATCCCCAATAGGGGGTGTGCAGGAGGCAGCTGATTGATGGTTCTCTCTCATTGATGTTTCTGACTCTCTATTCCTCTCCCTTCCTCTCTGTAAAAAATCAATAAAATATACTTTAAAAAAAAAAAGAATAAACTGGTCAGAAAATGAAACTTTAATGTAATAGTAGGGAGTTTGAATCTGTATAGTAAATATGTATTTAGTATATTTATTTAGTGAATCATTAAAAAGTATTAAAGGGTTGAGGTTCATTAAACTGTTAGGTTCCTTAAATTATTTAAAAATAAAGCCGTAACCGGTTTGGCTCAGTGGGTAGAGCATCGGCCTGGGGACTGAAAGGTCCCGGGTTCGATCCCAGACAAGGGCATGTACCTTGGTTGCGAGCACATCCCCAGTAGGAGGTGTGCAGGAGGCAGCTAATCGATGTTTCTCATCAATGTTTCTAACTCTCTATCCCTCTCACTTCCTCTCTGTAAAAAATCAATAAAATATATTTAAAAAAAAATTATTTAAAAATAGGGCCGAAACCAGTTTGGCTCAGTGGATGGAGTGTCGGCCTGCAGACTGAAGGGTCCCAGGTTTGATTCCGGTCAAGGGCACATCCCCGGTGGGAGGTGTGCAGGAGACAGCTGATCGATGTTTCTAACTCTGTATCTCTCTCCCTTCCTCTCTGTAAAAAATCAATAAAATATATATATATATTTTAAAAATAGGTTATCTAATTTTGTGTTTGCATTACTAGTCTCATTCATATTTAGATTATGTAAAATAAAAGGCTAAAGCTATTTTTAGCTTGATAGGGATGGTGAAATAAGTGATCTTACAAATATTTGATGTAATCAGATCATAGGGATTTGGAGGGCACAATTTACTCTGAGCTAATTTAGAATAAATCTGAACTATTTCAAGAGAATTTGTGGTAGCATACAAGTAAGGACAGTGTTAAATCCACTCAGCAAGGTAAGATGAAGAATCATTGGCATTTGGTTGCTAGACAGCTAACAAATTCTTTAGCTTCCCTATCAAGTTGACAATATGCAGAGCAAAACATTTTCACTTTGATTAATTTTTTATGTTGAATTTATGTGTTGATAAGCCTTTATGTCTACATAAAGGAGAAAAGACCATAGCTCTGCATGTGCAATGAAATAAACTGGTTAATTTATATTATTTCGGATAAACAGCATTAGATTCTCTATTTTCATTTCATTCTTTGTCATGTTTCCAGATGTTCTTTGATGGCACTTTATTTGATCTCTGTTTTCTACTTGTAAGAACTTTATTTTCTGTAAAATTATGTTGCCCTTGAAGAAACATGTCAGAAGTTAACTTGATGGCTACTTCGTTAATGCTTATTGTCCTTTTATTCTATCTCTTTTGCCATGTATTTTATCTATGTTGTCTAATTAGATTGTAAGCCTTTGAGGCAGGAATCAAATCTACCACACCAATGCTGTCTGTACAGCAGCTAATGATTAATGGCTGGAAATGTTAACTTTACCCTATTGATTTATTTAAATAGCAGTTATTTTTTCTTTTCTTTTTTTTTAATATATTTTATTGATTTTTTTACAGAGAAGAAGGGAGAGAGATAGAGAGCTAGAAACATCGATGAGAGAGAAACATCGATCAGCTGCCTCCTGCACATCTCCTACTGGGGATGTGCCTGCAACCAAGGTACACGCCCTTGACCGGAATCGAACCTGGGACCCTTCAGTCCGCAGGCCGACGCTCTATCCACTGAGCCAAACCGGTTTCGGCTATTTTTTCTTATCAATTTAAATGTACAGTGATGTAAATTCCTGCCATACAGTAAAATGTTAGATCCCTGCCCTGACCAGTTTGGCTCAGTGGCTAGAGTGTCAGCCTGTGGACTAAAGAGTTCCGGGTTTGATTCCGGTCAAGGGCATGTGCCTTGGTTGCGGGCACATCCCCAGTGGGGGGTGTGCAGGAGGCAGCTGATCCGGCGTTTCTCTCATCGATGTTTCTAACTCTCTATCCCTCTCCCTTCCTCTCTGTAAAAAATCAATAAAATATATTAAAAAAAATAATAAAATGTTAGATCCCTGACATACAATTAATGTTAAATATGTGAATCTAGAGATTACATAAGGAAACAAAATTTAAAATAACCTTAAAAATGAAAGTTTTTTTCCCCCCCCAGTAATATGAGATAGTAACCTTTAGTTTAAAGTAGATGAAGAATTTAGGAGATATTTTTAACTGAGTTAAACTGAAACTTAGTGATGATAAGGGAAAAAAATGATGTATATTTGGAAATGAATTGGTGACCTTTGGGTTGAAGGGGAAAATGCATTTACTGTAAAGGGGAAGTAAGTAATACTGTAATTACTGCCTTACATGGTTATAAGTGCCAACGACAGTGTCTGGCCCACAGATATTTAATATTAATAAATGGATGAGAATTTTGTAAACATGTATGAAAGATTAACTCTTGTGATTAAAAAACAACAAAACTCTCTTCTCTTCATTTGCTAGTATGTAGACAGTTAAATGAATAAAAACTTGATTCATTTTGGGAAACAGTACCTGTCCCATGGTAAGCACCAAGTGTTAGCTATTGTTATTATATAGCAAAAACAGTTTGCCCTGTGTGTGTGGCCATTTCCCAAGAGAGCCTTCATCAGGGAAAGGTATCCTTTGTTACTGGTGTTCTGGAGCAGCATCGATTTGGTAGGGACAGTATATTCTTATGTATAACTGTGTGCCCTTTTTTTTTTTTTTTTTTTTTTTTGGCGGGGAGAGGTGGGACTTTAAATTTTATCTTCTCTTTATAATTTTCTCCTAATAATGTTAGTATTGTAAGCTGTGGCACACACAGGCATTGATTGTTTGTTGATGGCACTGGAACATCTAAAATAGAGGCTAACTCTGAGAATAATCTCATTTCCTCCAGATTTTCATTAAAAGCTGCAATAAGTTGAATATGACTAGAGATATATACATAGTTTTATATTTATGTAAATATATATATATATGCTAAAAAATTTTATTAATCCGGAAATCTTGTAAATGTTGAAAACATTATTAAAATAGTTCAAAGGAACAAATAGATTCGAATCATAAGCTTTAAATTTGCTCAGTCTTTTATATTAATGTCTACCAACTATTTTTTCTGAGCATACTTATGTGTTCCAGCCTTTTCTTTTGTTATTGATATTCTTTTGTTATTTTATATTGGTAAGAACATAGATGTTGTAATTATAATATATTTTATTATAGCATATCAAAGAAGCTTGCTGAAGAGTAGGTGGAATAGGGGTTAAAGAAGCCAATGTCCAAGGTTATTGGTAGTGTACTAAAGGTCACAGGTAGGTAAATTATGTCAGGAAGAGTGAAAATATTAACAGGTGAAAAAAGCAGTCATTTTCCAAGGACCAAAGTTTGAAAATAGGTAAGCTAATTACTACTACTTTCTTAAGTATGATCATAGTTATGTATAGATTCCTATATTAGATATGAAATCAGATTTAATCTTTTTTTTAATTAACACTAAAGTATACTAAGGTTAATGGCAGTAATTAATGCCAGTTAATTTGTGTTCTTAAAGGTTGTTTTTTTAAAATATATATATTAATAATTTATAAATATATATTATTGTAATGCATACAGTTTGTATCTCTGTGTATGGGTTTTTTTCTGTCTCTTTGTGCCTCTTTCTGGCTGTGTATGTGTCTGCATTTTTCTCTGTGTCTGGTTCTCTCTCTAGCTCTCTGTGTCTGTGCTGCTTTTTGTATGTGTCTCTGGGATCCATGTATGCATGTGTTTATGGACCTGTGGGAGGAGGGTCCCCCATCAACCTTTTACTGTTACACTTTGTTGTTGTTGTTTTTTCATTGATTTTTAGAGAGAGTGGGAGGAAGGGGGGGAGGAAGCACAGAGAGAAACATCAATGTGAGAGAGACACATCGATTGGTTGCCTTCCACACATGCCCCAACCAGGGCCAGGGATTAGCCTGGAACCCTTTAGTCCATGGGCTGATGCTCTATCCACTGAGCCAAACCCGTTAGGGCTACTGTTATACATTTTGAGGGTCCCAATTACATAGGCAGTAATTCTATCTATATAAAAGCCGAAGCGACCATCGCAACCGAACAGCATGACCAAACGTGCTGCGTGGGGTGACCAGGCTGGCAGGGGGGTTAGTGAGGGACGACCAAATGACCGAGCAGTAGGTTGCGTGGGGCGACCAGGCTGGCGGGGGGGCAGTTGGGGGCAACCAGGTCGGCAGGGGCGGGGGGCAGTTGGGGGTAGTCAGGCTGGCAGGCAGAGGCAGTTAGGGGTGATCAGGCTGGCAGGGGGGCAGTGAGGGGCAGTCAGGCTGGCAGAGGCAGTTTGGGGTGATCAGGCTGGCGGGGGGGAGGGGGCGGGGTCAGTTAGGGGCAAGCAGGCAGGTGAGCAGTTAGGAGCCACTGGTCCAGGATTGTGAGTGGGATGTCCGACTGCCAGTTTAGGCCCCATCCCTGGGACATCCCCTGAGGGATCCTGGATTGAAGAGGGTGCAGGCTGGGCTGAGGGGACCCCCCCCCCACACACGAATTTCATGCACCGGGCCTCTAGTTTTAAAATAAGAGAAGAACATTGATATTCAAAATGGTCTTGTTTTAAAGTGTTTAAATATTTCCTTCATGTACATCTATTGCATTTTGTATGTCATTCCAGGACAGTAAATAAACGAGAGACTATATAAAACTTTAAAAATTTAGGACACACAGGACTAGCATATAGTTGATTCATGGCTATGATTTAGTTTAGTGGAGGCTGCAAAGTAAAATCAGTAAAGAGAAAAGGCACATGAGGTGATGTCTGGAGGAAACCAGGTGCAAGTTTCCAAGAGTCCTCTGCTAGTGGAGTCACCCAGTATGCACTTTATTATTCTAGCAGTGAATTGTGACAACACATGTGAAGTTCATTAGATACTAAATGTCCAGGGTTTTTGTTGGGGGCTGGTCACATAGTTACCCTCTCTATAGCTTGTACTATCAGAATTCCAGACTCCCAGAGGGAAAGAGGTATTCAAAATAAACTGCATTGTTGCACAAACAGTTTAGGCACAGGGAGCCACTCTTATTAGGGAATGATGGGAAGACCCTTCCCAAAACAAGTTCTCAGATTCCAGCTAATGGCCAACCTTGCAAGCATGCCATATTAACTCTTTTCTGCACACTGTGCTCACTTTAGTATCTATTTGCAGAATAATTTGTCATGGGAATTTAATTCCTGGATGTTCAATATAAGAATCTCTTGACTGATTTCTTTTTGGTTTGCATTTTTAAAAAAATGTTTTATTGATTTTTTACAGAGAGGAAGGGAGAGGGATAGAGAGTTAGAAACATAGATGAGAGAGAAACATCAATCAACTGTTTCCTGCACACCTCCTACTGGGGTTGTGCCTGCAATCATGGTACATGCCCTTAACCGGAATCGAACCTGGGACCTTTCAGTCTGCAGGCCAATGCTCTATCCACTGAGCCAAACCAGTTAGGGCAGTTTGCATTTTTTAGTTTCTGACTTTGATACTATTTTTTCATCCATTCTCATGACTAGGAAATAGACTCTTGTGTCTATTTTATTTCAGAGTAACATGTATACTATTGATTGGATATTTTCTATTTTAACATATGTAATTATATGAAACATTTAAATTTCATTTAAATGAAATTCTGCTTATTTTGACAAGCCATTTAATTTGTTCAATTTTACATGTTTTTTCAGTTTAGTTATTAATTATACCTAAGGCCTTTAAACATTTTTTAAGTTCTGTTTTTTAATTGACCACTCTTTTTTCCTTGACTCACTTAGATTTGGCTTACATATATGAACCTCTTTCGTTTTGATTACATATATGAACCTATCTTTCATTTTGATTAACTCCCTGTTTTCCTTTTTCATTATTAATTTTTTTCTGAAGATATTAATCTGAATCTGATGTTTAGTTTATACCAAGAAAGCAAGTATGAATTTGTTAATATATTTCTTAAGTAGTAGCATATAGATTTATTAGAGAATTAAGACTTTGCATTTTATGACTTTACAAACCTATGTAATCAGTAATGTTGACACCTTTTTATTTTTGCTTTTCATGATGATACCAATTTGGTCTTCATTGCATACTTATGAAATTTTAGAAGTGATAGTTTATTATTAACATTAAACTTTCCCTTTTTAGAATTGCTATTAAATTGAGAGAGTTTTTGTTTTCAGGGTTAGGATTAAGTGGTATTCATATGGTGGAAAACTTTGAAAAGGATGCAAGGGAAAAAACTATAAACCTCAGGTAGTCTGTTGGTAAGAGAAATCTTTTCATTCATAGATTCATTAAATGTTTATTTGTAACAGTGTTCTAGATGCCATGAGGGACACATAATGGGGACAAAAGTATCATTTCACTCTGAATTTGTATAAAAGTTATTTGTTTCACTCATAGAATGTCCTTAAGGACATATTATATACAGGTATCCTGTAAATAGAAAAAATAATAGTTGTATATGACTGTATCACATATATTCATATGTGTGGGATATAGAATAACTTAATATAAATTTGGAGTGAAGTAATTTCAGTTCCAATTGGAGAGATGAAGGAAAGCAAAATGAAGGAAATGACAGAGTTTTTAAGGGTGAATAAGGAGTTCAGTAGTAAGTATTAGGCAGGACAAGCGTATTTTAGGGAGAGGAAATACCTTTGTCATTAGTAGAAAGAAAAGGTAGAACTAAGTATGTCTTATAAAAAATTGTAAGTAGTACAGATTGACCAGAGTAAGAGGTACTTGAGGGCATTGTCTTCTAGACTTGACAGGTTATGTTTTATTTGGTAGGCATTGAGAAGCCTTGAAAACAGGTAAGCCAAGGGATGAATATGATTAGGATGAGAAACAGTCATGAGGCAATTAGAACAAAAATTAAGGCAAAGTATCAAGGAAGTAAAAAATAATCAAGGATGAACTTGGTAATTCTTTCAAACCATGGAGAGATCAGAAAGAATACTTTGAGAGAATATCATTGATATTTGAATATTCTGGGAAAGAAAATTTGAATAGACTGGAAGCAAACCCATAATTTAAGGGATAAGAATGGTAGGTAAAAAAGAGAATGCGCTGGGCATAGACTGTTTTTTTTCTTCTTCTTTTTTAAATTTATTGATTTCAGAGAAGAAGGGAGAGGGAAAGAGAAATAGAAACATCAATGATGAGAGAGAATCATTGATTGGCTGCCTTCTGCGCACCCTCTGCTGGGGATCGAGCCCACACCCCAGGTATGTGCCCTTGACCAGAATTGACCTGGAAGGGAGAGGTATAGAGAGATAGAAACATCAATGAGAGAGAAACATCATCCATCGATTGCCTCTGTCATGCCCCCCCCCCCCCCACTGGCTCTTTATTTGATACATGGGTATCATTTGTGTTAAGACATGAGAAATTATTCTTGTTTTGTCATCTCCTCTATTGTATCTTCTGGGGTCTTCACTGGGAACTTTGTAAACTCTAGTGGACCTTAAACAGCCCGTTTTAGATGCAAGAGTAGTTTTGTTTTTTTTAAATATATATATTTTATTGATTTTTTACAGAGAGGAAGGGAGAGAGATACAGAGTTAGAAACATCGATGAGAGAGAATCATCGATCAGCTGCCTCCTGCACATCTCCTACTGGGGATATGCCCGCAACCCAGGTACATGCCCTTGACCGGAATCAAACCTGGGACCTCTCAGTCCACAGGCCGACGCTCTATCCACTGAGCCAAACCGGTTTCGGCAAGAGTAGTTTTTTAAGGAGGAAATATGCTAAAAAGCTAAGAAATTATGTTGCTTTTATACTAAGCAAGTATTTTTCTCCTTTTATGATTCATAAATCTTGATACCTATATGCAGTTTTAAGAACTTAGATAAAGTAAATATGATGACCTATATATCTGTATAATTCATCATACACACTTTGAATAATTATAAAGGCAGTGTTTATTAAAATATATTTCATTTTCAAAAATGAGCTATCAGCTGTTAAAGTGTGTATATATTTTTTGGAGCACCCTGTATATATCATCATATATTTTTATATATATCATTGGGAAATGTTTGGAGGGCATTGTTCATATTGACCTTCATTCAACTTTTCATTTCTGATTTTCTACATTTAAAATTTGAAGATTATGCTTTCTAAAACATTCATTTATTTCATTACTTAAATAAAAACACTGATTGAGTATCTGTTTCATGTCAGAAGGTGTAACTTTGTCTTAAGCCTTAGTGCATGCGTGTGTGTGTAGAGAGAGAGAGAGAGAGAGAGAAGCAAAGAGACTGATAAATTATGAGTATGAATACTGTGTAAAATGAGTCCCAAAGATAATTTTGAGTAAACTTTGCTTATTATTTTTAAAACAGTTCCGAAAGCATGGTTTTTTAAGAAACTAAAATACGGAGTTTCAAAAAAAAATTTTTCCCAACAGGTGGGAAGGAGAAACCAAAAACAAATGTAGAAGACTTACAAATTAAAAAGGTAAAGAAGAAAAAGAAAAAGAAACACAAAGAGAATGAAAAACGGAAGCATCCAAAAATGTATAGCAAATCTATTCAAACCATCTGCTCAGGATTGCTATCTGATGAAGATCAAGAAGCCAAAGGTATCCTAAATGATAACATAAAGGATTATGGTGGAAAGAATTTGGATACCAAGAATTATGGTTCCAAACTTCCAGAGAACAGTGAGTTTCCATTTGTCTCATTAAAGGAGCCACGGGTTCAGAATAATCTCAGAAGGTTGGACACTTTGGAGTTCAAACAGCTCATTCATATTGAGCACCAGCCCAATGGAGGTGCATCAGTTATCCATGCCTACAGTAATGAACTCACTCACCTGTCTCCTGTGGAGATGGCGAGGTTTGCAGAAGAGTTTGTGGATCTAGTATTCAGTGAAAATGAAAACTCTGCAGCTTTCTATGTAATGGGTATTGTTCATGGGGCAGCTGCTTATTTACCTGACTTTTTAGACTACTTTTCATTTAATTTTCCCAATTCGCCAGTGAAAATGGAGATTTTGGGAAAGAAGGATATAGAGACAACAACTATGTCCAATTTTCATGCTCAGGTAAGAGGTTTTTAGTTGTTTTTTTTTAAAAAAGAAACTTTTAATTATGTTTTAGGCAAGTTTCTGTTCTTTGTTTCTCATTTCGCTATAGGTTTGAAATAAAAAGGTAAGACTATATCTGAAATGGAACCTCTTGGGAATGTTAAGAATAAAATGTGTTCTCAAATGTGAACATCAGAATTTAAATGGGTTTCTACTTATTTGTTTTTTTCTTAAGGTAATTTACGAAATAATTAAGATTCTGTTGTTTTCTTTTGCAAGGATTTACCTTGGAAATGAAATGAATTCAGCCATGTATTTTCCATTCCTTACAACAAACAGTTTTCTTATCTGAAAATCACCTAAAATTATCTTCTTGATTTATGTGACAATGCCTTAAAAGTACTTAGTATTGGATCCATCACATAGTAGATACTGAATAAATTTTGACTATTAAATATATTGTGGAACAAGAGGATCATTAGTTAATTGTGTGATTATGTGAGAATATTTGTATATATTGAGCTAATTTTCATTTCCTACCCTTCTCTAAGGTGATTTTATACAGGCTGTTCCCCCCAAAATGTATACAGACTTTAGCTGGTAGCTGTTGAAATGAAATGAAATTTTCATAGACACTGAAAATGAAATGTATTTTAATAAACACTACCTTTATAATATTCGAAGTCTGTGTATACTTTTTGGGGGATACCCTATATATTATTTTATTTATTTTTTAAAAATATATGTATTTTATTGATTTTAGAGAGGAAGGGAGGGGGAGAGAGAGATAGAAACATCAATGATGAGAGAGAATCATTGATTGGATGCCTCCTGCATGCCCCCTCGCGATCAAACCCGCAACCCAGGCATGTGCCCTTGGCCGGAATCGAACCTGGGACTTCTCAATCCACAGGCTGACATTCTATCCATTGAGCCAACCAGCAAGGGCCTATATATTATTTTAGAAAGCAGAGGCAGAATGAAGTTTGCTGGCTTTTGAAAGAGAATGTGGGCCCATTTAAAAGGCCAGTGCTGCCCTGGCCATTGTGGCTCAGTTGGTTGAGCATTGTAACGTGAGCCGAGAGGTAGCCAGTTCGATCCCCAGTCAGAGCACGTGCACGTGTTCCAGGCTCCATCTCCCAATTTTGCTCGCTCTCATCAATGTTTCTCTCTCTCTCTTTCTTCCTCTCCCTTCCTCTCTCTCTTAAATCAATAAAATAATTTTAAAAAGAAGGCCGGTGCTGTAGTCTCTCACTCAGATCAGGAACTGCTTAGGTCAAGGAAATCAGCCAATTTTCACATTTATTGGTGCTAAAATGTCTGATTTTCTAAGTAATAATTGACATCATTCTAGTTTGGAAGGAGGAAAAATAAAAAAAAATTTCAAAAGGATCTCAGTGATCATCTATCCCAACCTTTCTCAACTTACATTAAGAAATAAACATAGATAGGCGTAACTTACTCTTTTAAGGTTGGCAGCAGTGCCGGGAATAGATCAAAATCTCCTTAGTCTTCATCCAAGACTCTTTTCCTTATTCTGAGTATAAATATATATTTGATATGTGTTCATGTTATAGTCTCCACCTGTGATAGCCTGGATAGTCTGTGATAGTCCAGATGTCCACTTCACACCTACCAAACCTCCTGCTCCCACAGTATATTTGGTGTATATTCTGGAAAATATGGTAATATTTAAAGTTTTAATGTATATGTATGGGAATTACTAATATAATATGTTTGAGAATGAGAGTTTATATATATTTTTAGAGCCCTATAATTTTATAGAATTCCAGAATAACTAGTAACTTGTCTGAGATTATATTAAAATTTATTGGTAAAACCAGACTGGCATCTAGTAATAGCATCTACTATTTCTGGAGTATTGACTGTGTCAAGAACTGCTGTAGTACTTCATGTATAATAATTTACTCAATCTTGATTACAATCTAATTTTAGCATTAGGAGACAGATACACTGAGAGAACAAATAACTTGTCCAAAGTCCTTCAATACTCTCTCATTTATTATATGTCTGCTAGGGTTTTGTCAGCTTTTATACGAGGCCTTTTGACTTCCAGTCCCATTTGTTTCCACCATATTACAAACTTTCTGTCATACTATGCAAGTTTATTTTAGTCATCTTTTAAATGTCATAATTATTATTTGTAAAAATATATTTTATTGATTTCAAAGAGGAAGGGAGAGAGAGAGAAACATCAGTGGTGAGAGAGAATCATTGATTGGCACACGCCACACTGAGAATTGAGCCCGCAACCCGGACATGTGCCCTGACCAGGAATTGAACCATAACCTCCTGGTTCATAGGTAAACACCCAACCACTGAGGCACACCGGCCAGGCTAAATGTCATAATTCTTAGATTTGCTTCCCAAATTCTCTTTCAAGGTTAGGAATTATTATATTTTCATTAAATGATAAGAATATTTATCTTAACTATGTAGTAAGTACAGTATGAAAACTGTGATTTTTCCCTTTTTTGTTTTGTTTTGTTAATTCTTACCTGAGATTATTTTTTCCATTGATTTTTAGAGAGAGTGGAAGGGAACGAGGGCGGGAGAGGGAGGAGGGAGAAAAAGAGAGAAAGAGATAGAGATAGAGATAGAGATAGACAGACATTGATGTCAGAGAGACACATTGGTTGGTTGCCTCTTGCACGTGCCTGAGGCCGTGGATTGAACCTGCAACCCAGGTATGTGCTCTTGACTGGGAATTGGATCCGAGACCCATTGGTGAGTGGGCTGACGTTCTAACCATTGAAAACACAGGCCAGGGCAAAAACTGTGCCTTTGCTGTTAAATGAAAGGACATAGTAAGACTCGTTAATCGTGCCAATACATGGCTAGGTTGTAGGTCTCGAGTCCTTTAAAGAGCTGCCTAACCTGGTGCCATCACCTCTTCAGGGTGTGTGGCTGATACATATTACACAGAGGAAACTCTAGGCAGATACATCTTCATTGCCAGCGGTGGCTCTGGCCCATATCTATGTGATCTGTCAGCTGCAGGGACTGCTTTTACCTCTTTAGCTTTAGACAGTGTTAGGAAGATACCTGTACAAGGTCCATGTGCCTTCATTATAAGACCCTCCAGATCCAGTCATTTCTATGGTATAAGGGAGAATATCTAGTGAAAAGCTACCCTGAACTGCTCATTTGATATTTCCTCCATACTGGATTCTTAGTTTGCTTGTTTGTTTGTTTGTTTGTTTGTTTGTTGTTTTTAAAATTAGGAGACCATGGAAGTGTTTTCTGTAGACTGGGAGGTAGCTTTGGGTTTGTTCATATGCACTGGCTTTATGAAACTGAATGGGATCCAGAAGAGAGCAGTAGAACAAAATGAGCCATACTTATTGTGGTACAGTTTTATTTATTTTATTTTTTTGCTATCTTTTAAATTCTTTATTTATTTTTGGTGTAGTTTTATTTAAAATTTCTTCGACTCTTTCACTAAAAGCTCTATCTCTTAACCTATTTTTGTGTTATCCCTCCAGGAAATGATTTTTGAAAACCATTTATACAATTTTCTATTTGGGAAATTGCTTTATGAATTACAGGACTAACGTACAGCCATATATTTAGAGCTAAACCAGTTTATAACTTGAGGACTTTCTTGTCCTGAATTTGAGAACCTGGCTTCCAAATGTAATTTATAGAATTATTTTATAGTCAGTGTAGTGAGTTGTGTCTGGATTAGTGTGGGTAGCTGAATGAACTCTGTTATGATGTGGATAGAAATGGAAGAAGTATAGTCCTGGTTACGCCGTTTATCACCCATGACTTTGAATAGCTACTTAAAGTCCTTACGTCTTAGTTTCCTCACCTACAAAATAATGCTAATGATGATATTACTCAATTGAAAGAGTTGTGGTTAGAAATGTTCTATAGAATAAAGCACGTTTTACAAAGAGTTGTTATATTGACTTAGTGCAACATTACAATAGCTTTCCATTTTGTTGAATAGGTGATGACTAGTTTCTGACCGAAGACTCTTTAAGAGTATGTTAATTGATGGTAGGGAATTCAACAGGTACTCATGATAAAAAATTACCATAAAATTCTTCATATGCAGATACAAAGTTGATTAAATTGTGGTATGTACACACAATGAAATATCTATCCATAAAAAGGATTATAATACTGCTACTGCTGCTGTGTGGATGAACCTTGAAACATGAAAGAAACCAGTCACAGAAAGTCACATGTTGTATGATTCTATTTATATGAAACATCCACAGTAGGTAAATTAGAACCAGAAAGTAAATTGGTGATTGGGAAGGGGGAAAAGGGGAGTAACTGCTTAATGGGTGTGAGTTTTGTGGGTTTTATTTTTAATTGAGATGGTTGATATAACATTATTTTAATTTTAAGTTGCAACATAATGATTTGATATATGTATATGTTGTAAAATGATTACCACAAAGTTTAGTTAATACATACCACCACACATAGTTACAAACTTTTTTTCTTGTGATGAGAAATTTTAATCTCTGATCTCTTAGCAACTTTCATAGATACAATACAGTGTTGTTAGTAGTCACCATGTTGAACAAGACATCCCTGTGACTTATTTATCTAATAAGAAGTTTGTACCCTTGACTGCCTTTACCCTTTTCACTCCCCCTTCTGACAAACATCAGTTCTCTGTATCTGTGAGTTCAGTTTTTTTTTTAAGATTCTACATATAAGTGAGGTCATGTAGTATTTCTCTTTCTCTGACTTTTTTTTTTTTTTCTTCTCTTGACTTTTTAAAGAAAATATATTTATTATTGTTTTCAGAGAGGAAGGGAGAGGGAGAGAGAGATAGAAACATGAGTGATGATAGAGAATCATTGATTGGCTGCCTCCTGCACACCCCCTATTGGGGATCAAGCCCACAACCCAGGCATGTGCCCTTGACTGGAATCGAACCTGGGACCTTTCAGTCCAAAGGCCTATGCTTTATCCATTGAGCCAAACTGGCTAGGGCTCTCTGACTTTTTTGACTTAGTGTAATGCCCTTGAGGTCCATCCATGTTCTTGCAAAAAGAACTTATTATTTATGGCTAAATAATATTCTCCCCCCCCCCTTTGTGTGTGTGTGTGTGTGTGTGTGTGTGTGTGTGTGTGTGTGTGTGTTTTCTCCATTCATTCATCAGCTGATGATTGGGTTGTTTCTGTTTCTATGTCTTGGCTATTGTAAATAATGCTTCAGTCAACATGGCAGTTGCATATATCTTTTCAAGGCAGTGACTTTGTTTTCTTTGGATAAATACCCAGAAGTGGATTTGCAGGATCATATGGTAGTTCTATTTTTCATTTAAAATAAAATAACATTTTAAAGATTTTAAAAACCGATTTTTAAAAATAACCTTTTTATTGAAGTATAATATGTACACAATGCACACAAATGTATAACTTGATGAATCTTTACAAAGTGAACACATTCATGATTTTTAAAAGTAGAGTATCATTAGTATCCAGAGCCCTCCCCAACCCCTCTTTATCACCATTCTGCCCCACCCCTGCCCCCTACCACCACATACATAAACACCCGGGTTATCACTCTTCTAACTTTGAACACCAAAAATAAATTGTGCCTTTTCTGAACTTTGATATAATAGAATCAAATAGTATGTACATTGTCATGTGTGGCTTCTTACCTTCAGCATTATATTTGTGAGATTCATTCATCTTGTGTGTAGCAACAGTTTGTTTTCCCATTGCTGTAAGGTATTCCATTGTATGAAGATGCCATGTTTTATTTATCCTTGTTTATTATGGATGGATATTTGAGTTCTTCCCAGTTGGGGCTGTTATAATTGTAGCAACTATGAATATTTTTGTACATGTGTTTTGGTGAACATATGTATTTGTTTCTGTTGGATATAAATGTAATATTGGAATTTCAGGGTCAAAAGGTATGCAGATGTTGAGCTTTACCAGATATTGCAGGTTTTCTAGTGTTACTGTAGTAATTAACATTCCTATCAGCAGTGTTCCACATTCTTGGTTACACTTAGTAGTACCTATCTTTTTCATGTTAGCTTTCTGGTGGCTGTGTAATAGTATCTTATTGTGGATTTAGTTTACATTTCCCTGAGGACTAAGGCAGTCAAGCACCTTTTTATAAAATGACTAGGGTCCTGGTGCACGAATTCATGCATCTTAAAAGGAACTGTGGGCCGTGAGGCTGCTGTGGGCACAGGGGCGGATCTCAGCCTATCCTCCCCGCTCCCGCCCAGCCCCTCCCGACCCCTCCCGCTACAGCCCCCAGTCCCTTGTCTGCTGGCAGCCCCACTCCTGCTGTTCCCACATGCTGACAGCGCCGGCTCCACTCACATCCACTTATGGCGCGGAGCGATTGGGGTCCGCCAGCACCAGCAGTGGGTGCGAGTGGGGCCAGTGCTGTCAGTGGGTAGGAGCAGCAGCTGCTGCCCCATCGCCCCTCGGGCACGGGGAGGTGGAGAAGCCCTCAAGAGCGATCTGGGCCGGCAGCCATTGCTTGCACCCATTGACGGCGTGGAGTGATTGGGACTGGTGCTGTTATACAGCACCTGTTATACGGCTCTGGCAGCAGGTGCGAGTGGGGCCGTCCTCAGCAGCGAGTACGAGTTGCGGCTGCCAGCCCCATTTGCCCCTCAGGAGCAGGGGGAGGTGGAGAATCCCTGAGGGGTGATTAGGGCCAGCAGCC